TGTCGCCGCATTCTTCAAGTGGTGATTGCTCACCTGATGGACTATGCGAAGAACTGACAGTACTCGCGGTTTCTGCAATGGCCAAATAGTTCTCCCGTAAGCCATTCGACGATGTTCTCTGGGCTGTACCGGTAGTTGCCACCACAGTGGGTTGCAACATTAGTGTCGGGGTTGGGCCATCAGACCTACGTAGTTCCTCAAAACGCAAAGGACAGGTTCTCGATGTCCTGGTATGGCCGAGTTCGCCACACTTGGTGCATTTTGACGGAGCTCTCGCGACCTTTTGGACTTTCTCGAACGCGCTAGGCTCTCGTCTCGTGCTTTCCTTGGGGGCTGAAGATGCTTCAGCCAGCGATTCGATTCGTTGGCGAGGCTCCAAGAGTAGCTGTGGTGTCCCCTCACGTTGCAAATGCCAGTGTGGATGAAAATGATCCAGGAGGAGAACTCCGCCTTGCTCCTGCAAATCCTTCAAGGTATGCACACAAGGGAGCCCGTTGGACTTCTTAAAAGTTCCAGTACAGATAGGGGACGGCGGTGGATCCCTCTTCCCAATCAACCTTCGCTGTTCTTCAACCTTCCTGAGGGCTTCATGCGACACCCATCCACGTACCGCGCTGTAGAGAGACCCCGATAATTCAATTGGAAATCGAGTTTGCTGTCGAATTTGATTTGATCTCAGCTCGGAAAGCTGGTTCAACAGTGCCTGTTTCATGGCTCTCCAGGCTTCGAACAGATCTAATGTGGACTTCTTGAGATGGGATTTCAGGAGTGCGTGAATCCCCTCAACCCTTCAGGTCGCCGTGTTACCAAAGTGAGCATGCTGATCTACCCAGGCTTTGACAAGCTTCTCTTTATATGGTTCAAGCCAGGTATGCATTACATAGCCGACTTCATGAAGGTGGTCTGGCAAGTACTTCTGTTCGAAGAGCGCCACTCTCTCCTTGAAACAGGCCTCGTTTGAGGAGCTCACGATCAAGTGCCAGAATTGATAGAATTCGCCCCAAGCTTCTTCTGTTTTATCAGTCGGCTGACTGGAGCGGGAGCTGGCAACATCTCGAGTCGTGAAAGCTGGCAGACAATGCCGTAGCACTGCTTTATTAGCATGCCAGAGACAAAGGAGCGACTAAGAGGTGGGAAATGAGGTGGCAACAGCGTTCATACAGGCGATACAACGGTCTGTTAGCACGACAGACGGTAGTTTGGAGCAATGGTGATCATAGAGAGACCGCAGACGATCCAATGCCCACCCATAGTCATCCTCTGATTCTCCGCTCAGGAAGGCAAAAGCTATGCAGAAGGACTTCTGACAGGCGTCGACTCCGATCATGTCAAGAAGAGGCATGCCATATTTGTTTGTCTTATAAGTGCAGTCCAGAAGGAGAATATCGGGATATGCCTGAAGGTACGTCAAGGAGTCAGGGTGAGCAAATAAGACGGCTGTGACTCGACCATCTGAGCCGAATTGCATCCGGCTCCAAAACCCTTCCTCATCAAGCTGATTAGCAAGGGCGTGGATAGTGGTTTGTCCTTCGCAAAGTTTGCGTCGAGTTGCTGCTAAGCAGTTGTAAACATCTTGCTGGGTTGCCGCGGAATTACAGTATTGGCGCAGGTATGTTCTAATGTGTCTAGGTGCAATTCCTGCATTGGCGAGCCTTTCAAGTTGAGTTTGGTCCTCCTCAGGTAGTTTACGGTGTATTGGGTGAGCCGACAGATGCTGACTGGGAGGGTGATTGTGAAGAGAGAAGCAGGTATCCGGCCGGTGTCGTAATGTCCACCTACTCTTGTCGAGTGATTCTTTGGCCAGAACAGAGAATTTACAACCGGTCCCTCGAGTAGTGGTCTTGCGTTGTCTTTCTCTCGTCGAACTGGGCGGGCGACATGACCGATCGCATGTGTACGTGATAGTTTGTCTGCCGCTCTTTTCAACCGTCGAACGTCCGGTCGTAAAGGCGTAACCTCTATGGGCCGCCCAATCGTTGATCGCCTTGAACAACGCATCGCGCGACTCATATTCTTGTTCGGGAGGGAGCCAATCTTCAGTGAATGACAAGATCGTTCCCATTGTTTGAGGATCACCGCTGAATGTCGTTCTTCGGTGAGCGCACTGTGACCCAGCCTTCGCGTCCTGACGCGACGGCGTTAAAAAGCAAGACAGTGTGTTTTCATCGACTCGTAGGTTGAAATCAGGACTAGACGCACTGTGCTTAGTCATTTTTACGGGACCCGTGAAATTAATAGAATCACGGGTACCCGTGAACCTATTGGCTCCCCAGCATCAAGCTGAATGAGCCTCATAGTCAGTGTTGCTAATAATATGGCAATAAAGTAGTATATTGCAATATAACCCATATGATATGGACTCTCTCATATTGTGACAATATGATATGAAGATTTTAATATTGTGACAATATAATATGAGGGTGTCCATATTGTCAATATATTACTTTATTGGGTTGTTGGTTCTGGGGCGAAATTGCCTCTTGACAGTAGCCAGGCATGCCTTACCCTACACCAGCGACAAGGATGCTTGGCATGTTATTGGCGAGCGTTCGCCTCAACACGCGTCTTTATTGACAATCAGACATAACATGCGACCACGCGTTTCCTTCACGCGTCAGGGGAGGTACGATTGGTACGGACCAAGTTGGGTTGGGCGTACCAGTGGTTGCCTGTCGACATTAGCCATCGTCACCTCTGCCCATTTTCTTCATCACTATCAAGCGTACTGACTAACCGTACCGCCATGCCTCAACAGCGCCTCCCTCTTGTAAAATGGTCACAACGAAGAGAGTCGTCAATTTCAGTCGACTTTTCGGAGTTTTCCAGCCAGCAGTTACATGGCCTAGACGAAAGCTAAACGTCCAAATCTCGACCTTGCACAGCCTCTACAACCTCCTCCACCAAGCCTAGAACATCATGGGTCTTCTCTCATATGCCAGACGAGGAGATAGAGACGAGATACTACAATCAGCGGACCGGAAAAGAAGAGTGGCGCTGCAAACATTGTGACAGAGCATATGCCTGTTCCGGGGGTACTGCGGCTCCCGCAAAACATCTTATGGACCCTCCTCCTGACGGTCACGGTCTGCCAAAAGGAGCCCCGCGCACAGCTAAAGTGACAACAATACGAACAATTCTCGAACAAGCTCGTGCTGCGGCAGAAGAAAATCCCCGCAAACGCCGTCGGCTCAACGATCAATCCGGAGATTCGATCGACCCTGACCAGCTCGAAGTGTTGTATGTGAGGTTTATTACGGCCTGTTCTCTCCCCTTTCGGCTCGTGGAATGCCCAGAGTTCCGAGCACTCTTGGCCTACGTCAATAACGATATCGATACTTGGCTTCCAGACACGCACGAGACCATCAGGAAATGGATCATGCGGCAGTATGAAGACCAGAAGGAGAAGGTCAAGCAGCGCATACAGTCGGCGAAGTCAAGAATTCACATCAGCTGCGACCTTTGGACTTCTCCCAACTCTTTGGCCATCCTAGGCGTAGTTGGTCACTATGTCACGGAAGATGGTCAGCTGGAGCACCATATTTTGGCATTGAAAGACATCGACAGTGAGCACGACGGTTCTCACCTCGCTGCGGCAATTTTGGATGTGGTTGACGAATGGGGCTTTGCTTCCAAGCTTGGGTATTTCGTGATGGATAATGCTGGCAATAACGATACAATGATGAGATCCCTTTCGCTTGGTCAGTACAACTCACTGTTTCTAATGATTGTCCCTCACATTCCATAGGCCTCTTACGTCGATATGATATCCAATACGATCCCAAAGTTCACCGACTCCGCTGCCAAGGTCATATCATCAACCTCGCCGCCAAAGCTTTCCTCTTCGTCACCGACAATGAGAAGCTCGAACGCGACGATGTTAACCTGCATAATGTGACACTAAAGCATATTGAAGCGTGGCGGAAGAAGGGTCCTCTTGGCAGGCTTCACAACTTCGTCGTTTACATCCAACGGAGTGTTCAGCGCAGCCAAAAGTTTCTTGCTATCAGCCACAACCGTAGGCTTGCGCGAGACAATGACGCAAGATGGAGCTCGTGGTATACCATGTTGAGGGCAGCATTGAATCTTAGAGATGCAATTGACGGCTATTTTAACAAATGGATGGACGCAGATTGCGCTGGAGACGAGCTCTCTCTAGAGGACTGGATCATCTTGGAGAAGATCAAGTCCTTCTTGGAGAAGCTAAAGATGACGACCAAGGCTCTCGAGTCATCATTTGCAACACTCGACAATGTCCTCTTGGCGATGGACTTTGTATTGGCACAATTCGAAGCCGGCAAGGAGGCAGCTATCGACGATCCGGTGATGGCACCGATGTATAACTCGGGCTGGGCCAAGTTGGATAAGTACTATCGCCTTACTGAAGAATCGCCTGCGTATGTTGCAGCCATTGTGCTCCACCCTTCGCACAAATGGCACTACATCCAAGAGAACTGGAAAAAGGAGTGGGCTGAGTCATCGAAGACGTTGATTGAGACGCTGTGGAACGAATATAAACCTGTGGAATCACCGCTTCCTCTCTGCGAGGTCCCATCGACAACCACGAACGAGTTCTTGAATTGGAGGAACAAGCATCTGCAGCCGTCGCTCGCCATGGACGAATACGAGCGATATTGCAATTCTGAACGGGTTTATGGCTTTACAAGCGCCCTTGCATGGTGGCTAGAGGAGACGCAGCAGAAAACCTACCCGAGCCTGAGCAAGATGGCCGTGGATATACTGTCAATTCCTGCAATGTCTGCGGAGCCTGAAAGACTCTTCTCTGGTGCAAAGATAACCATTACTGACCGTCGAAATCGACTTGGGAGTGATGTAATTGAAGCATTGGAGTGCCTGAAGTCATGGTTTGGGATACGTGATTTTCAGGGTGACGAGATTTGTGCAGAAGCGATATAGTGATGGGGTCACGTGGAATATATTGGGTGTATTGTCACACTGCCAATATATTGGGTTCTTGGCAATAAATACAATATGAGTCATGTTCATATTGGGTAATACAATATGCACCCCTTGACAATACAATAATATTGCGAAGGGGTCCATATTGGCAATATCATATTGTTTATATTATTAGCAACACTGCTCATAGTCACCAGCTCAATCTCACCTTCAGTCTCAGGAAGTTCAGCTGAACTCCTATCCAATTGGCTTGTGACGATCGTATACATCTCTTGATGTTCGCTGATAGTCTTCCTTCGTTTGTCTAAGAACGTGTGAAATTCTTTGTCCCCTGGATGGTTGTAGACGTTTTCGAGAGCTATTAACACGTTATTGTTGGTAGCTATTGATTTCTCAACATCCTTAAGGGATTCCTGAGCCTTTTCCAAGCTTTTCGCTAGCTCTTCCTTCTTGGAATAGCAACTGCGCTTATCTGCGGCAAGGCTGCGGTGTTTATCATTGATGGATGTTAAGAGCTGCTCAAACCTCTTGATTTGCCGTGCTAAGGCAACTAAGGCAGCCTTCAAGATTTTTTTAAATTCATTTCCAGAGGGCTGTAGAGTTGTTAGCTCATGGTAGGTAAAACTGTGTTTGGATCAATCCTACCAGAAGTGTATTCCAATCTGTAGATTCGGATATTTGGGACGTTCGAGATTGGCTGTTGGTAGTCTTTTGCCTCTTCGCTGGAGTCACGCGGGCTGCTGAGCTATTTGCCATCGTCTGATGAGCAGATATGGACTTGTTCCCTGGTGAGGATTCTGCCGGGCGTTTGTTACTCCTAGGTGTCGATGGTTGACTTCCTGCTAAGCGGGAGTCTAGTGCATGAGCAGTCCAGCTGGTAGACGCCGGTGGCCAGCGATCTGGCTGCTGCTGAGAGCTCTGGTAGGTCTGAGATGTAAGGCTGGTACCACAAGACAATGTTGGCTGCGAGCTTGCTTGTGCATGAGGATCGGAGGAGCTTTGAGAAGTTGAAGCAGGAGTTGACGATGGTTGGCTGCCTGATCTTGGACCCGACTGCAACGCGCTCTGTGGCGTGGTGAACCTGGGCAGGATTACAGGTGAAGTTATTGCAGGAAGAGGACTCAGCGTCGGGAAGTTTGGTGGTGCTTGTGGCTACGTCGAGCTCTTCGACTCTTGAGAAGTCTCAGGGGCAAAATATGTAGAGTTATGCTCTTCTGATCCCCCAGAGCGGCAAACAGAACTCCGCGGTGTAACATAGACCAACCGAGATGGCTTCTGAAGCCTTCGCTGAGGGCGAGCGCCCGATTCTGCTGCTGTTGAGTTAGAGTTTGATCTTGAAAGATCAGCTCCAGATTGCCCATTTACTTGAGCTTGTTCCGAATTTTGATTGAGGCTGATCCGACGTATCTTCGGCTGGCTTGTCGACTTGGATCTCAATGGTCCCATTTCCTGACGGGTGATATCGTTTTAGGAAAGCACTAACTTCGTTTCCCACGGTCACCTCGTGGTCTTCACTTTGCTTATCACCCTTATCCCCGCTCCTATTCTTAGGAAGGCCCAACGCTATGATCTCATCGGCCGGTTCACAGTTTGCCTCAATTACCTCACTGTCCGCAACGTCATCATCATCATCATCATCATCACCATAAGTTTCGTCATCTACTGGCGTGTGTCCATCATTTGGCCACTTCCCGCATGCCTGGTGAATGTGCTTCGCTGCGACAACAGCTCGCTGAGTTGGATAATCTGATGACGTTGTGACATTTTTGTTGAGAGACCGCCTACCGCGTTTGCGCGCTGATGACAGCGCTGCCCACAAATCAAACAAATCAAATCCGTGGTCGAATTTGATTTATTTGATACTTTTGGACACTGGATTTGTTGTTTGAGATATTTATTCAAACATTTCAAATGTTCCAAATCTCGGCGTCGTACTTCTCCGATGCTATTTCCGGCCTCCCTGTGGGGCACCACGCATGATCTCAAGCGCCGACTGTACTTATCAGGAGCCTCATAAGCCGCAGCTCGAAAACGGCCAAAAAAAGCCTCTTGATCATGATAGATTTTCTAGTACATCTATCTGCTTGCCCATCCGCAAGCACGGTACTCTACGTTACTGAACACCACGCCTTGCAGTTCTGTCAACGCAAAATCCCAGAGCAGGCGAGCCTAGTTAGTTGGAAAGGGATCGTTATGGGTCTTCCTTTCTCCTAATTGCCGTCGGATTCAACCTCACAAAGTCGTAACTTTCCTCAGCATATGTCGTTCGTTACTCTCCGCTGCAGGTGGGGACTTTATTCTACTAGGGAGGTCTGGCGATGCTGCTGAGTGCTTGACGCTGGTGAAGGGTGAGCAAAACCAGGGGATGGAGTGGGGATGAGTTTGCCGTCGAGCTCCACTGGACTAGTCCTTATTAGGTAAGGACTGCCACACGCTATGACAAAGAAGCACCAATGACGACGCGTGTTCGATGTTGAGGGGCTTACATGAGGGCGGCTGACTAACGTAAGAGCTCGGATAATGGCTCTGATTGGCCTGATCTAAGTGCCAGATCTTTGGCACCTCTTGAGTACCGGGTAAGTTGTGAGGAAAGGCGGCCATGAGCCTAACCAGCTATCTTCCATGGCATCATATCCCGTACCAAATATATCAAATGTTATCTCAAATCCAAGATTTGGATTTGTTTGTTTGAAATAAGATTTTCGGGATATTTGATTGATTTGTTTGGTAATTTGTTTGATTGGATTTGATTTGTGGGCAGCGCTGGCTGATGATAGCCTCGAAGTCATAAGAAGTGACCAAAAATGTCCCCAAGTTGTATTTGACCACAAATACGGATGAGACTCAGTGTGGTGAAAATGAGCTGATGAGAATCAGTCATGTAAGGCTAGTGAATATGTTTGTGTCGCACTGAATGTGTTTAAAATGGATTGAAGGTCGGGTCATTCATGATGAGCAGCAGTAGTGAGTTGATCGGATTTATCTTTTTCGTGTGGGGTATTCCATCCCACAGGTTTTACTTTAAATCACCCAGCTTGATTATTAAGGGCTGTTGTTCCTGAGGCTCGTTGTGACCATGCCCGGCCTGCGACAGTTTGCAACGCATGAGGCAAATAGTAAACACGGTTTACCTACGTCACGTGTTTTGGTGTAGCCTGGCCGAAAATCATGTTTGCCCCTGATGAGCTCATCGTTCAATTTCTTCTTTCTAGCGCGCCCGAACAAGACTGTGGCGGCACTGGAAGGGGGTGCCCTTACGGTCACTTGGCTGTTCCTTTGGGTCACTTGGTGGAGCCTCACCTAGTTCCCAATTAGGCAATTACACTTCACCGCCTTTCAGCGCAATTCCCTAGCTTCAGGCATTACAGGATATCACCCTCACAACGCACCCAATAATTATAATGAAAGCCTATATAACCTACCTAAATCTCATTATTAACAGACATATCGTAAGAAAGCCACTACAATAGTCTTAAATGTGCAGAATGTAATGTTGAAGAGGCTCTTTACCCCAGCTTGCACGGACAATACGGCGGCAGAACAGTAGGCACTTAGGCTCTTGGCGTAATTTGTATAAGGCTTTACGTACCTCTTGTTTCTAGCTTTTTTTTTTCTTTTTTTTTTTTTCTTTTTTTTTTTTGGCAATCCGGCTTCTCTACCAAGTGACCCCAAGGAACAGCCAAGCTGTAAGGGCAACCCACTGAAAGTACCGCGTCATCTATCTTAGTGCACTCAATCGACTGTCAAAAACACCTGGGCTACGCTTGTTTATAAGCTCAAGAAAAAAAATGCACTTATCTTGAAAGTTTCCTTTGCCTCGTCTAATACTCTCGGTTTGTTGGCTTGGAGTAGTTTCTCCATCCAGCTTCTTCAAAATTTGTGCAAGATCAATTTTGAACCCCGTTCATCTAATCCCTTTGGATCAAGCCTCTGTTGGCACCCCAAAGCTGCTCCCTCGTCCTTAAAAAGGATTCTGATTGCAATTTCCCAGCCGTGCGCGTTGGCTTAGTCTTCCCTACTAGCCTTTAGCCACATTCCCCCTACAGGATGATTACCTCCGAAACTCTAGGCAGTAGTTGAGTGCCCCACTTTACAGGGGGTAGGCGACAAGGGTAGAATGGCCGCATGAGTATTTTGCAAAAGGAGCCGACCCCACGTAGTGTATCCGAGCAAACAAGTCCTACTTACACGAACTCACAAGATCTACCTAGAGTGCTTAATGTAATAGATTCCGAAATAACCCTACGCTAAGAGCTATTTATGTACCCCCAAACGTATCGTATCGTGTTGCGATAGGTGTGATACTCGCGCTAGGCCAAATCAGGCAAGCTCTGCGCTACTAGCTGTTGGTTTGAGCCTTGGCCCAGCCCAGCTGATCGAGACAAATTGCCACGAGAACAGGAAGTCCGCATGGGGATTAAACAACGGATGCGAAATTTTGATTAATACACCATATTCTCTCTACAAAGTGGCACGGGGCTATGGAGTCTGTTTTATTACCATGCCAGGAAGTCAAAGCCATAAGCGCTAGGTGGACGTGCCGTGTGCGAGCCCTAAATTGCGGTGCCCGAATCACGGTACGGTACGGAAGCACTGGCCTCTTTGAACGTTGACGATATGACTGTTATTAAAGAACGCCATAATAGAGACATATTCTCGATCAACGAGAGGCAACCAGCTCGGTTGCAAGGGACCAATGCGGCTGTTCGCCAGCTGTCGTTTACGACGACATCTTGAAACTGAAGGTCGAAAGTGGGGAGCTGAAAGCGGAATAGGCAGCCAGTTCCGGATCGCCCTCTAATGGTGGACCCTTTTATTAGTATGGACTTAACAGCCCCGTTGCAGATCGCCTAGCTGAGACCTTACGTGCTGCATCATGGTGCTTAATAGCTTATGTTATCAATATGTAGGTGGGGTAGCATGGAATTACCACTTGGCTTTAACAATAAAAGTCTTAAACGCGACAATCTCGATGACACCGAAAATGGTTAAGCGTCAAGAGCTCGAGGCTTCCGCCACGCTCGTCGATATCCTTCTACATGTTCACCTGGAACCCTAAACCAGAGGTCGCTATCAGTTTCTTTACTCACCCCTGATGCCCTCATACTTGCAAACTCCGACGAACCCTTTCATACACTTCTTATTTTATAAGTGGAATGAGAAAGATGAGACCGGCAAAGTCAGTGACCCGCCGCTGTAGGAATCTGGAAAAAAGTATAAGTCCCAGAATTTCCGTCCCATGGCATTACCTCACCATTCTCACTGCAGTGGAAATAATACACTGGACCATTAGTTCGATGAAGTGCCTGGCCGTAGGCTAGAAGACTGACAAACTCACCAGGGGGGATATCGTACCATTGCACATCTTCTCCGCACCCATATTCTTTAGCATTTGCAGTTGACTATAGAGCGGCCTTGCGGGGAGTCTAATATATGCGTGAACGAATCGTGGCACAAGTCTCTCTAGAAAGATCAGGCGGGTGGAGTACATCATGTTTTTTCCCCCAGATAGCGTCCAACGCGATCATCATTATCCTGTAAGGCAAAGCCACAGCGCATGCAAATGATAGCCGATTGAGAGATATCGTAATGCAATTCTAGACTCTCCAGTCGCTGCAGTTGTCTGGGAGTGATTTTTTCGGTCACTAAAGAGGCTCTGGGGGCTTGTGATGACATGGTTTTAGAATGTTGATTTGGAAAGATTCTGACGAGATGCCGCCTTCAACCCACACTTTCGAATCACCATTGACCGCTACTGGGTTGGCACGGGCCAGTGTGTTGGGAACGGCCCCGTTACCGACTAGAATACTAGAGTGGAATGTTCAATGCGTTCTAACAGACATCATCGCCAGATTAGAGTGAGAAGATAGTGGCGAGAAGATGATGTGTACACACCCTGCTTGTCGAGCCCAGAACCAAAGTCGCAATCATGGATTTCACAATATGGATCACTTTCGGGTTCATGTTCAGACGGTTTATCGCGTGCCATTACGATCGCCGTGCCAACTGGGGCATAGGCGGGTTGTGCAAGGTTAGACGTCGCAAGGTGGTCAAGGAATAGTAGGTTTGGAGGTAGAGGTATAGTTACAGCGGCTAGAGATAGAGCATACATGCAAGATAGTCTTTCCTCGATACTAATGGCTCAGTTTAGTGTCTACATGGAGGTGAAGTGAAGGTTATGATTCTCTTTGCCATGACCCCGATGGGCATCGGGGTGGACCCTACTTAGTGTATAATGGTGTATAATGCTAATCCTTTTTCCGGATTCGTGGTGGCTGGACAGTTCCCAGTGGTACCATTTCCGGCAACTTCTCCTTCAAGTTAATGCATTGGGTTTCCCGCAAACAAAGGATATGGGTATATAAACCATTGGTACTGACTTCCGCTACGAACGATATTATCTATCAAGAAAGACCTGTGGTTACTCTGCCTTTTACTCAAGATCGGCCTCTGATACTTTCATCATGCCCTTAGGCCGGCTTCCTCCGCCCCCTGGCCCGCCACCCACCTGTCCCCTGCCTCCTGTACCAAAGCGAGGCAAAGCTTCACAAACAGCACGAGTGACCAACAATACCCTGAATTATCATCAAAAAGAACATTGGAGCAGACCCTCGATAGTGGGCACGGCAGGTGCTTCAAGATAATGTTTTCAGATACTCACGAATAACGATGTTAGCGGAATCATGTTCGCACAATAGTATGTTTCTCATTCATGCTTCTCGTTCCTGTTCCATTTGATTGAACACAGTGGTGGCGCTGGCATAGGATTTCAGCCCTTCAAAGCCAATGGAACTTTAGAGTACCGCAAGAACTCACGAAATGCGACCCGACCGGTGGATCCTAGCGCTGCGCCACCCTGCAAGCTCTAGTTTGTATGTGCTTAGTATGGAGGGGGTCAACTGGACCTCTGGTCATCATTCCACTCTCGCCTTTCTCGATAACCCTGCATCGGAATGACTTCAAATTGGGCATATGGATTCATTGATATCGTTTGTATGTATGTGCAAAAGCGAGAGTGTTTTTATCCTGCTAATGACGCTATAAAGATGTGACCGCTGATTTCGAGACCGACGCCCGAGACTCGGCTGGTATCGCGAGTGGCAAGAAGGGGAGGCATTTTCTAGGTTGATAATGGATTTGACGGTCAATAACAACTATGAGGCTATTCTACTTCAAATCAAACAATTAGATCGTCAACTTTCACTTTCTTTGAGTCGTTCTTTGGTCCCAGACTACTAAATAGCCTTCGTAGTCGTTCCACCAGTTCAGTCTTCTTCCCTTTCGTTAGAAGGTTGGTAAAAGATAGCATTTTTCTGCAACTGGGGGACTTTCAGCTGTTGAAGTGTGTAAATAAGGGTATCTTTATCCCAATCTTCATCAGGATCGTAGGCAATTTCCTTGTTATCGCGTATCCATAAGCTCTTCAGACTTGACATGTATATCCGCTGCAGTCTCGCAACCTGTATAATCGATCTCTTCGACCCCTTATATGAAAAAGAGGTTATCCTGGCTTCCATTAGGCCTTATAGTAACACCAGCTTAAAGGAGCGACTTTTCTATCTTCTCTCAGTATTTTTTAACCGTTCAAAGGCACAGGCAACAATCCAAGTTGTCATGATGCTTCGGTCACTGACTGACCACTCGGTCTTTCCTTTTGCTTCCTCTTCTAGCTCATATAATATCATCTCTTCTCGTAATCACACTTTAAATGGTTTATTAATTGCAACATCAAAAATCCCGTACAACCTGCCGGCATAAGAGCCGGGGTTATTAACTGGCTTGAGATCGGTTTTTATTCCTTCCGTAAGGTGGAAAGAGGCAGCATCCGTTACTAAAATGAAGTCCTTCGTTGCTGACTTAACGGCAGATAGATCTTTCTTAATCCACTGCTGGAATAGGTTCTCGTTATTATATGCATGTTCATTGTATATCACCGTAATCCCTGGAGCGTACTGATGTCCCTCATCCTTGACAATCCTCGCATTATCGCTGTCAGATCCGTAGAATATGATTGTAGGTTTAAGCCGGCAGATTCCGTCACCGAATATGTATAAAATCAGGGTTGCCTGCCGCTTTTGCCACCCACTTCGGGCTGTCTTCACAGGGACTGTTTTGGCGCCCTGTAAGGCCCAGGTGCTTTCGGTGTCATTTGAGAAGGGAATGATCGCTCATCCAGATTGAGAACATGTTGGACAATTGTCTTCTTCTCTAGATCAATTCATTTCCGAGATTTAGGTGTGCAGTCGTGCTGTGCAGGGAGGCTGTCCCGTCAACAACGCAAGGTCGTGTTTGAGACACCGCCAATTGTAGCAGCGCGATGCACCTTCGATTATGGGTCATGTTGAAGCGCTTGAAGGGCGGGCACGACATTAGTTTCGTTATTCAACTGTGGCATGTGTCTTTGCTGAGGAATGTGGCTGCTGGTCCTGGTTTCCACTACGGAGCACGTCGATCCTCAAGTCGCAGAGACCAGCTCATCGATAGTAAAGAACTGAGCATCCTGGGATGCCACAGCCTTAGCGGCCCAGGATCATAACGCTCTAAGAACCACACACCGGTCATAGCACCACAATTTTGGAAGTGCATGCTTGTGATGCATCGGGCACCCTGAGCTTGGTCGAAGTATGTACAGAGCCACAGACCGAGACTTAGAATCCATTTCGACTGATATGGCTCTCAAGTGTCCCTTGTGCAATTTCCCAACAGCATATTAAAAGCAAATTAACGGCTCTAGCCAGTCTCGGAATTGCAGATTCAACACTCTTGCAGGGACAGCCGCGTGGTATACGAGGCGCCGGACGCGATGATTCAACGCAGGCATGTAAATGAGGGTGTTGTAATTTTAGAGCTGTACTTCCAGGTGCCGCCAGGCCGAGCACTTTGCACTTCTGTTTTCAGTTGCCTTCTCAAACACAGTCAGAATGTTCCCGCGGAGACGTAATGCTCTGCGATGATGCTTGCGCATGTCCGTATTCGTCATCCTACAGAAACATGACCCGCTTTAGCGTCGTGGCGCAAGTTGGCCCGGTTCCGGCTTGGTTCCCCCGCGCCACTGACCGATGCACTTGGCTCTGTGTAACAACAATTCAGCGCTGGGATCCGACCCACAGTGCCTTACCTCGGCCGAGCCGATCCGCCGCGGATAGTGAGCGGTAGGGAGTCGCCTCCTGAAATTCCGAGTTGCCTCCGAGAACGGCGGTGACGAGACTGCAATCTACATAAACAATCCAGATGCTTAAAAGTTCGTTTTCCTGAACCTTTTCAATTCTCTCATCCGATCTATGCTTAGGCACACACTAGCTGTGAAGAGCGCTTTTAGAGATCCCGGGTTTTGCACACACAGAGACGGTGATTGGTGGTAGGGCACACGCCCTCCCAACACGCAAAAATACAACCAAAAAGCACGTCCTCAATCTGACAACTGCCGTGGGGATATCGTACTGTTCAAGAACTCTGTGGCTGGGTGAGGCAGGCCATAGCGGCATCAATAAACATCTAGCAGAGCCAGGTGATAGTGGAGGAGGTTTATCCCGAATTTTTTATCGTCGGGGGTTCTCAGGCAATTTTTATTTTGCGGTTTGATAGTATTCGTTTTACGCCTCAATTGGCGATGCGATCCAATAGCCTCTGCCACTTTTCCCGCCATCCACGGATGACTGCTTTGCCTACTGATGCATAAAGTCAGCGATGGCGAAAGGACCCAAAAAAAAAAAAAACCAGGTTCTCGCCTCCTGTTTCTCCTGTAAAGAAACGGACGAATTGAAAGTTGGATCACGACTCACTCAACGTCTCCCGCATGCTTGCTCTACTCTTCTGATACCCAGTTGTAGTATAGTGGGTTTCACCGCTCACAAGAATTCTAGCCTCAAGCGAAAATAGACGATCAATGGGCTGCTGTTCGATCCTTGAACTTCCCCGATCTTCATTTATTGTCAGTTTCTGTAAGCCTACACGCCCTCTGCATGAACTTGCCGGCCATATCTTCCGCTTGGAAAATCCAAAGAGCTCAAGAAACCCCAAGGAGGGATTCCATCCTTGATTGCTAGTGGTTAAACGCCCCTACGCTTGCACGGGCTCTCTCATATTGCGCACTCTAATCCGCATTCCCTCTCTTCCTCATCACCCTTCAAACATCCTCTATCTTTACGCCATCCACTTCCTCTGTCTTTCCCACTCCTTGTACCCCCATTCTCATATCTGAGTAATCTCTTTCGTCCCTTTCATTTTCATTTTTATTTGTCTATTTTATCTCACCCAGCTTCCTTTCTCTCTTGCCGATCTCCCTTGTAGTAAGGGTGCCACCCATCGCAGGTACGTCGACGTCGAACGCCCACTATAACCGCCACCAATACCAAGGCAGCGGGCGCAAGTCTTATGAGTCTCTAATCACGAGCACTCCCTTCAACTTTCCTTCTCCGGTGCCCTGGACTACGACGGTGCTCTCGGCCTCACCAACCCACCTGAAGATCACGCCATGTTTTCTTCTTTCGCGCAAGAAAGGTTCTACGTTCACCCGGAAATTGACCCTGACGATGGCCTAGAAACACCCTCAAGTTCTCGAAGTGGCGACTCTTACACAGCCTCACCCACGGATCACGCAAGTTTAGAAGCCTCTAACGGCACCTCAAGGCCTGGTACTCCTGACCATTGCGAGCATACCAAGGACGATATGGCTATCTCTAACAGACCCTCGCGCCATGTTGACTATCTATCCCACAATTGGAGGGAGGAGGATATTTGGTCATCATGGCGATACATTGTGATGCGACGAGGAGATTTGCCCAACAGCGTACGATTAGAAAATGCTGCTTGGAGAACGTGGATTAAGGCCAAGGACAATCTGAAAACCATTTCCCCTGTAACACTTGACTGGTTTGTATTCCTGAAGTTTTACGTATAATACTAAATATTAATAAAGTATTATATCTTTTAATAATAGATTTAATATATATTAGGCTTAATTAATATAAAGATATTTTATTAATAGTTAATAAGTTAAGTTGAAATTTATAAAAGTATAAATAAATATAATTTATATGTTAAATAATTCTTTTAGGTATTAATAAGTTTATAAAATAAGGTATTTCTAAGATATATTTTTCTTAGATTAAATTATTCCTACTTCCTATATTCTAATATAATATATAATATAATTAGTTAATAAGTTTACTAATAAACTAGTAAACTTATAATTATAAATTTACAAAGTAGGTTATTTTATTATAAATCCCTGTTGTATTATGGGGTTTTTATAGGATATATGTAATATACCTGCTAGGATTATAATATTACCAGGGTCTTATTAAAAGCAAGCCAGCATAGTAATACGCAGGCTAATAGTAAGGTAAGCAGTAGATCGGCTTAGTGTTAGACACAAAGTCACTTAGCTACCATCTGATCTAGATGAATAATAGGAGTCTATGCTAGCAGTCAGAGGATATAACCTAGTATCCGGAAGACAAGGAGTTAATAGGAGCTAGTTAATAGTAATAAAAGTATACTTCCTTCTATAGTAGTCAGAGAGTAAAGTATTAAATATATTTCCTAAGTAATAAATAAAATAAGACCTCTTAAAATAACCTACTATGCTAAGATCTTAAGCACTAGGAGAGCGTAAGGTAAGAATAAGGTCATATTAAGAGAGCTAGTTATACTAGGTTTATTAGGAAGTATTTATAAGTCTGCAAAAAACTAACCAATTAAATATCATATACAGTCATGCTGCCGTAAGGTTATGCCTCTGTATCGAAACCGTCATGTTGCTCTATTAATTCCCTTATAAAAATGCTTAATTGAGATCTCGGTATAGGTACCATCTTTAAGAACCAGTGTATTTACTCCAAGACTACGTTGGTTGATCGGGCCTGCTTATTATGTGCTCCCATGTCCATAAGCTACGCAGCGCTCAGTCCAGGCTCAGGTTAAAGCGGCATCAACTCAGGCCGATGGGCGAAAACGGAAATAGGAGGCATCTACATTCGTGTCCTAGTTATTTTGTTCTATTTTGTTCTATTGCTCATCTAACTATAAGACGCCTCTTTTATAGAAGATGTAGAGAGCTCTCTCAAAAGAAGGTAAGCTGTACCTATCCCCTTCTAATGCCCTTGCCAAGCCCTCAACCAAATAAATAGTAAACGGGTCATGTTTATTATTACAATGAGTAAATGAAACAAGGCGCGTTTAGCATTTTGCATTTTACAATCCCATTAGCGCTATCTGAGGGAACGCAGTGCGTTGCTGTCGTACATGCTGGAACAGTATTACCATATATCCTACACAGGGGTCACAAGCATGCTAAGACTGAGCCCGTTTTTTACTCCAGCCGCAAAAGCAACCTCTGACTCTTTAAGCGCTGTTGATTTTAACCGTTTCCTCCCGAGCTTTACGTCCTCAACTGCCATGTTGGTATCGTTCTCTGTGTACCGGAGTGGTAGTGGATTGCCAAATTTGAAGCGCCGATGGGATAAGGCTCGGAGCCTCTCCTCTGCCCTCATCCCACTCTGGTGCCACTGGATCCAATACATTTGCTCATGCTCCCGTAAATATCGGTTGCCGTGAAAGCTGTGCAGGACGGTCTGACGAGAAAGCATACCGAGCGTCCGGCGATACTCGCTCTTGCTGTAAAAACGCTCAGTGAGCCAGTGAACGTCCTCAGGGGTAATGTCATCGGGTAACTCAGGAACACTATTCTGGCTCCCAGCTTCATCTGTAAACTGAGTCCACCGTCCAACCATACTTAGCATACTGATCTGGGCACGGGCCAAGGCAAGAGGATCATTGGGAGGTACAACCTCTCCATATTGTTGTTCGGGGTTCTTCGGGTCCGTCAAAACCAAAGCCGTGGCGCCGACCTCGGTAGCGACAATAGGAACACCGGCCAAAGCTGCCTCGCCAATGGCTAGCGGCAGACCTTCAGAGATGGACGAGTTCATGAACAGCCACGCGTCCTTCAAGACTTCCTTTGGGTTGCCAAATCCCGCTAGGATAACCTTGTCCGAAAGGTTGCTATCGACGATGAACTTCTCCATCTCCAGCGCGTAGGCTGGCTGGCGATCCTTTGCGCCATATATGACCAGCCGGTAGTCGGTAAAGCCAAAGCGGTTGACTATGATTTCAGCGGCCTGGGCGGCCACCTTGACGCCCTTTATCACCTGTACGTTGGACAGCATGACAACAGTGGGCTTGTCAGTGCGGATTTTATCGACAGGAGTGAAGGACTCCATGTTGCTGATACCATTGACGATTGGGTCGACCTTGCGACTAAACATGTTTCGATTACTAACGGTACCTTTGTCTGTACCAATTTCAATTTCCCACATTCTAGAATACCAAGTTAGCCAAACTAGGGTCGTCTCTGCTTGCGGGAATAATACTCACGGGTTGAAAAGTGACGCGCAGGGCGAAATCACATCGGCGTGAAAATAAGCGAGGCGTGTAGCAAGACCAACACCAGCAAGTAGCATCGACTGCACTGCAACGGGGAGCTCACATTGAGCAGGGCTGATGTTCAGGCAGGTCTCCCGCCAAAGGATGGCATGGTCCCAGATGCTAAAGTGAGCGCCACGGCGATATTTGAGTATTAAGCCAAAGAGACTGCTTATACCATGATGAGTGCTTTGGAACGCACGAGGACACTCATCAGGCACCTGAACCGCGAAAATGAAGAAGTAAGCGCGGAATATACCGAGGGCATCGCGGAAATCAGGGATACTGGCTCGCTCGATTTCGAAGCACTGGGATGGGCTGACGATATTAGGGTCGCCATACTCCTTCAGCCAAGCCGCCACCCACCCTTCCTCGAGATACGGCGATGTCCAGGTGGAAGAATAATCCTTATGTTCGTAGTACTTGTTCATGGAGAGAATAACGTTGCCGTACTTGATAAGGTCGGCGCGGGAGAGATGTTTTGTGCGAGCGCCTTTAACAAATTCCGTGAGCAGCGGCAGAAAGGTATCGATAATATCCCGTTGGACTTCGGTGTTAGCTATCTTCTCATCAACCTGAGACTCGAGGAGGTTATCAATGACGCCATGATTTGCTGTGCCACCATCAATGCCCCAGAGTGGTAACAGTTTGAGCGATTGTACATTCTTCTCAATCTGGAAACGCGGGACGCCGTAGTCGTTGGCACACTCCGCGAGGACATGGTTGCGGATTGTACTATGCCCATTAACCAGATCACGTCGGCAGTTGGAAACACCGCCAGGTGCTACTGGCCAGCAACCGATGTCATTGAATATAATTGATACCCGATCCTCTGTGTCTTTGAAACAGTCTTGAGGGCGGGCTGTAATCGGTGTAGCGTCATTGCTAAGGCCCATGGCATAGAGATCTGAAGTCTTGAGTCTAAGCAAACAGAGCTCAGACACATCTGTGTCAATATCAATAGCTGATACAATTTGATGGATGTTTTCATCCAAAGCTCGGCGCGCGTCGTCCAGGCAGCCACGGTCCCTCGCATACCAGTACTTGCGAAGTAGACGCTCCTCGCGAAGAACAAGCTCATCTATCCAGCAGGCGGTAACAGCATCGAGGGTGCCACTCTTAAGCCAGTTGTTCCACAATTCAGTGCGGATGCGCCAGGTCGGCACGCGTTTGTACATGCGCCGGTTCCAAAACGCAATCCATGAAACCGGGTTAAGAGACGAGAGAAGGTTCCGAGTCCTACCAGCATGCTGCTGCATCTGTCGGATATGATATGTCTCATGGTATATGAGTAGATTATCATTATCGAACAACACATCCTCTGGGTACTTGAGAAAGATAGACTCCTGGGGAAACACCTCAGGAGCTTTGGCCAGGGCTGTCCTGAGGCCATTACCGTCATCCAAAAAAGTCGTGATGATTGGATCACGGCGATGTAGGTGCTCGTAGATGCTTGTAAATATTTTGCCGTCAACCTTCCTGATAATGCGTCCCACCTTCTGAGACGGAACCCAGCTGTAGTCCTCAGGGTCAACAGGCGTTCCCCAGAACACAGAAAACATATTATCGGAATCTGAGTTGGCAAGGGTGAAATCGGCTCGTAAAACGTCGCAACTGTCCTTCATGCCTGACTTGTAGTGGAAGTGGAAAGCAAACACTATGTCTTGATGTTTGAGAGTTCCACGTACTACCCTCCCATGCTCGTCATAGTAGCCAACGCTGCAAAAGTCCTTTTCAGAAACCATTTTGGCGAGTGGCCAACGAGAACAAGCATTATCATCATACTCGTACGTGGAAACAGCACCACCTTTATCCTCTCTGACCTTGAGGCGGACTTTATCGTCGTAGGTGTCAATGGAAAGCGGTGAATCATCAGCTGGTGGCTCTTGAAGTGTCCCGGAATATACTCTCAGCGTCATTGTTCCGTTGTCATTGATCGAGGCAAATCCAGTGATAGCGTTCCGGTGCATCTCGACGATGATAGAATTGTTCTGGATTTTGCGTCGTGCGCCTTTCTGGGCAATACGCATGAGGCCCACAAGCGAGGGTCGATGATAAATCAATACACAATAAAGCCACATGTTCTTCATGGCCCGGCAAATGTTCCAGATGAAAAGGATGATCCGAATGGCGCTATCTTTCAATGGTGCATTTCTGAGACAATAAGCAAGCTCTCGCTCTATGTTGGAGCCCCCACCGGAGATGATAGCAACCCATTTTACAAAGAGCAGTGGGATTGCCAGCAGTACGTTCCAGAACCTCTGGAGCACTCCCGAGGGCTCTGGTTTACCAATGAGATTGATAGGCCTCAACTCGGCTGGACCTTCCGGTACAGCCCCAAGCCCCTGATTGGGTGAGATGGGAATTTGGCCTAGTCTTTCTCGGCACTTCTGAAACACCTGAAGAGTGAGGTTGATGTGAAAGTCCGATGTCTCCAGGTCGACTCCACACGCTAATGCCCACTGCATCATCTCAGGGGACACAGCCACATCCTCGCCAGAAATGCGATGAACAATGGCTTCACGAACAA